CCTCCCGCTAATAGATGAGTATTTGGGGAGGGCACAGGGGCGGACTTGGGGGAGGGGGTCCTTTGCTTTGCATCTGCACTTGAATGCGCACCAGAGAGTGGGCGCGGGACCCTTTACCTGCGGTTTACCTGTTCCTGGGCCGAGCGTTCCTAGGGGCGCAGGTGGCGTTTGAAATCTGTCAAGTCGGGACAGCACAGGAAGTTTTACAGATGGTGGCGATCAGCCCGCGCCATAGGGATGTGAGTTTCCAAATACTGAGCTCCAGTCCTTTCAGCCAGCAGCGCCTGGGCTCCGGAGGACCCATTAGGATGCAGATGGGGCCGGGGGGCACCCCGGAAGGGGGCCACGTCTCTGATTCAGGAGGTCCGGGCAGGGCGTGCCTTTGTGGCTCTGACCTGCTGATCTGCTGGTGCCGGGGACCTCACTTTGAGAGCCGCTGCCGTGAACCTAAGGACAGGCCAGCATCGGCTTCTGCCCTGTGGGACGTGTGTGGGACTCCTGCCCCTGCAGCCGTGGGCCCACGGGGATGGTTGATTTGGGGGTTCTGAAGTTGCACCCCCAGAGGAAGCTTTGCCGGAGGGCAGCCTCACGGGGGCGTCTCACCTCCCCACCCTCTTCCCCGCCTGATGGAAGGGTGTCTGCGGGTCTCTCCCCTCCCAAAACACCCCCAAGATGAGGCTGGCTCCTCGGCCGCTCCTGTGCCCGCCTGGGCACTGCCTGCCGAGCGCCTCCCGCACTTGGCATTCACAATTCCATCCCTCCAGTGTCCACGCCAGTTCAAGGGCAGCAGGAGGGGCTGGGCGGTGTGGACACAGCTGCCGGGGGGGTGCAGGCTGCTGCCCCCAGCCAGGGAGGGGCGAGGGGGGACCAGTGTCCCCCAGCCTTTCCCCGTGGGCTCCCGTGGGCTCTCCCTGTGGAGGGGCCATGGCACTGCTCTCTGCCCGCCTTCCTGCCCCCTTTCTGTGGGGCGCCCCAGCTCCTGTGTGGACCAGGCAGGCCGGTGAGATAGACGGATGCCCAGCCCCAGGCTGGGCGAGGTCAGGGGCCGGCACCGAGCCTCTATCCCGCTGCCAGGCGGGGCGGGCCGGGCACCGTCCTGCACACGTTCCGGAAGGTCGTGGTGGCCGCGGTGTGGCCCTGAGGTCCCCCGAGCCCGCCGTCGCCGTCACAGCCGTGGCGGGCTGCGGCGTGGCCGTGAGCTCTCGGTCTCTGTATGAGTGTCGCGCTGCTTTCCCAGGCCCGGCCCGCCCTGAAAGCACCGGTGAGTCATCCGGGGCCTCCCGTGGGTGTTGACGGCAGGTGCGTCTTTTGGTCTTTTGAGGTCAGAGGCTAGAGCCCTGGACCGGCCGTGGGGGGACTTTTCCCTCCAAACTCCCTCGTCAGAACTTTCCAGAAGGGTCCGGCCCTCGGGTTGGTTCGAGGGGCAGAGACATTTGCATTCCCGCCTGAGCGAGAGCACAGCTCGGGGGCCGGGTGGGAGGGGGCGGGGCTGTGCCCGCCTGGCACTCCTCCTGCTGGGGGCCCCTCCCCCAGGCTCCGTGGCCAGGCCTGCGGGAGGGTGCCCTGGGCGCTCCCACGGGAAGCGTGGCAGGCCGTGGCTCCCAGGGGCCGGGGCGCTCGGCCAGGCGCAGGCTGCCAGCACGGACCTGCGAGGATCTCAGATCGCTGGGGCGGCTTCTCTTGCAAAACCCTGGGCTGCAGCACCGTGGGGGGGGCGGAGCCCCGCGGGAGGGAGCGGCTGGGTCTCCAGGTGAGAGGAGGCTTTCTAAATAGGTCACCTTGTTCCACATCCTGCACTTCATTCTTCCCCCGTCCTGGGTCCAAACAATGGTGTTACTGTCCCAGGGTCCGTGGGGCGGGCGGGCGGGCGGACGGACGGACGGAGGGAGGGAGGGATGCCCGGAGGGGGCACTGAGCGGGGAGGAGGTGAGTGTGTGTCTGCCTCTCCCGCGCACCCTGCCCCCACCCCACTCCGTGTATCTGTCACCCATCACCCGACGTGCCGCCGGTGCCACCCAGTGCTGCTCCCGCCGTGAACTCACCGAGCTGGGGGGGCCTCTGGGAGCTGTAGAGGGGGGACCCCACGGAGCACCAGGCAGTGCGGAGCCCACTGTCCCCGGGGCCCAGGGCTGGAATTCCTACCCCTCTGCAGCCACTGCCCTGCCCTGCACAGCCCCTGCCCCCATCCCCTGCCCGGCCTGCAGAGTGGAGCCGGCCGCTGTCCGGCGTGGCGGCTGGGGTTCGGGTTTCCTAGCTCGTTTCCTGTGTGGGCCCGTGGAGACGGACGGACAGCGATCCCGTTTCTACAGGCAGATGAACGTTTGCGAGTTAGAAGCGGTGTCACTGGGCATCTCGGGAGAAGTTATTGTAGAAATAACTCCCTCCTTCCCCCGTGGGATGGTCCCAGAGCCCCCGCGGGGCGTTGGGACCTTCAGTCTCCCTGCCCGCTGTGGACTCGGCGTGCGTCCCGCTGGGCAATGAACACGCAGCCTCTGCTCGGCTGAAGGGCACGACACACACGGGGAGTCCTCAGGATCCACGTTGGTGCCCCTCCGCCCAGCATCCCCTGTCACATGGTCTCCCCACGGCCATCCTCTCCCTCCGCCCCCCCTGCCCAGCGTCCCCTGTCACATGGTCTCCCACGGCCATCCTCTCCCTCCGCCCCCCCCCTGCCCAGCGTCCCCTGTCACATGGTCTCCCACGGCCATCCTCTCCCACAGCCCCCCCCCAGCATCCCCTGTCACATGGTCTCCCCACGGCCATCCTCTCCCACAGCCCCCCCTCCACCCAGCATCCCCTGTCACATGGTCTTCCACGGCCATCCTCTCCCCCCGCCCCCCCTCCGCCCAGTGTCCCCTGTCACATGGTCTCCCCACGGCCACCCTCTCCCACCGCCCCCCCCCAGCATCTCCTGTCACATGGTCTCCCCACGGCCATCCTCTCCCTCCGCCCCCCCCCCCGCCCAGCGTCCCCTGTCACATGGTCTCCCCACGGCCACCCTCTCCCACAGCCCCCCCCCCCGCCCAGTGTCCCCTGTCGCCGTGGTTGGGGTGGGACCCTCCTCAGTGGGATTCTGAGGGGCCTTCCTGCTGGGGTGACAGAGCCAGGAACAAGGCGATGGCTGCTCTGCTCCAGGAGGCAGTGAGATGAGCTCAGGAAGGTAATTTCCTCCTCATCCTCCCAGAGCTGACCGTGCCCCACCAGGTCCTGCAGAGGGGGTGTCCGCACGGCGATGGGTGTGGGTGCTTCTAACAGACCCGCCGTCCCAGGCTCAGAGGATGCTCCGATGGAGGTTGGGGGCATCGCAGCCAGTCCCTGGGGTCATAGGACCATGTGTCCACACCAGCCTCAGCTCTCCCGCCCGCAGGCCTGGCAGCCAGCCCGCAGCCACGGGTGCCCCTCAGGGGGGCCGTACGGGGGTCCTGGGGGGGTCGGTGGCTCTCAGGGGTCGATGGGACTGGAAGCTTGGAACGGATTGTCCTGGGAGACCCAGGATGGGAGGACTCCGAGGTCTCCATACGCACAGAACTTTCTGGAACCCGGTGGTCCCCCAGCGGCAGGAGGACGCCTCGGCTCTGCACCGGCCTGGCGGGCATTTGACACAAGGGGTCCCGGCCTGTCTGGGAAGAAACGGGAGGGGGAGACGCATGGCCTGCGCTGAGATACGGGGCCCGGGGTTCTCATCCGGAACGCCTCCAGGAGGCCGGCCGGTCGCGAAGGAAGCCATCCTCTCCCTCCCGGATCTCCTCCCCAGGCAGGGCCGGCTCCGGGGGCGGGAGGGCCTCAGGAGCACCCAGCCCCTCGCAGTGCCCCTTACACCCCTATCCTGGCCTGCTGGTCCCAGGCAGACGGGAGGACCCTGGTCCCCGGCGCCCAGCTCCCCGGGTCCCTGCCCTCCGGCCCTGCAGCACCCTGTCTTCGCTTCCCGGTGGGAAAGCAGTGAGCTCACTGCAGAGGGGGAGCCCCTGGTCCTGGGAGCCCACCCCCCGCCGGGCAGCCGGCGTCCTGCAGGCCCAGAGGGAGCTCAGGAGCCCGGTCCCTGCCACTTCCCTTCTCCAAGGCGGGCACGGGGGACGGGCCGGAGGGCAGGGTGGGTGAGTCCCTCAGCCCCTCCTCCTGCTGAGCCCTGGTGGGGGGCGCACAGGCAGTGAGCTCCCCCCCCCCACCTGCCTCCCTCAAGGAGCCGGCGGCCGGCAGCCGGAGCGGGAGCGAGGGGCCTGGAGCCGGACTTCCTCCCGAGGGTCCCTGGAGCCCCATGTGGCTTCGGTTGAGGGAAAAGGCGGTGGCCGTCCCCGGGCTGGCCCGGGACACTGGGCGGGGGAGGCTCCTGCCCCCTGGCCTGGGGCTGCCTCGGGCTCCCGAGAGCGATGGGGCACCCCAGTCCCCGCACGATGCGGAGGTGGGACCGTCTAGGGGGGCTGCTGCAGGCCCAGTGCCCGCGAGCGAGCAGAGAGCCCGGGCCGAGGCCCTCGCTAACCAGGAGTTCAAGGCTGCCCAGCCCGGCTCCCGCCCCGGGGGCCCGGGGGAGGCGGCTGTGGCGGGAGGGAGAGCGGCTGGGAGGGGCGCCTCAGGGCCCTGCCTCCTGAAGCAGCCGGCTTGGGAGATGCCCACCGCTCGGGCTGATTCCAGACCTGTGCCGACTGGGCTTTCTGCCCTAAGAAACACCTCACCGCCGTTCCGGATCCTTCTCTCTCCCGGCAACTGCCAGGCTGGGGGCCTCTCCCTTAGGACAGCTCCGCGGCGGGCACCGGGCAGGGTCCCCTCGGTGCCAAGGCCCCGGCCGGCCCGAGCCGGGGGTGCTGGGAGCCCGGGGCCAGGCTGCGGGGACGTGTCTGTAGCCAGCCTGTCGCTCGGACCCCGGCCTTCCCGGGGGGGGGGGGGGGGGCCGTCTCCCCACCCCGCTCCCCGCTCACGGGTCCCGTTTCTCTCTCCGCCCGGCAGGCAGGACGGACCGCGCCGCCACGAGCAGAGGCCCCGCCGTGAGGCCGGAGGCGGCGGCCATGGGCCAGAAGGTCACCGGCGGGATCAAGACGGTGGACATGAGGGACCCCGCGTACCGGCCCCTGAAGCAGGAGCTCCAGGGCCTGGACTACTGCACGCCCACCCGCCTGCAGCTGCTGCTGGACATGCCGCCCGCGCCCCGCGAGGTGCAGCTGCTGCACTCCTGGAACCACCACGACCGCTCGCTCAACGTCTTCGTCAAGGAGGACGACCGGCTGCTGTTCCACCGGCACCCGGTGGCCCAGAGCACAGATGCCATCCGCGGCAAGGTGGGCTACACGCGGGGGCTGCACGTGTGGCAGATCACCTGGGCCATGCGGCAGCGGGGCACGCACGCCGTGGTGGGGGTGGCCACGGCCGACGCCCCCCTGCACTCCGTGGGCTACACCACCCTTGTGGGGAACAACCACGAGTCCTGGGGCTGGGACCTGGGGCGCAACCGGCTCTACCACGACGGCAAGAACCAGCCGAGCAAGACGTACCCGGCCTTCCTGGAGCCGGACGAGACGTTCATCGTCCCCGACTCCTTCCTGGTGGCCCTGGACATGGACGACGGGACGCTGAGCTTCATCGTGGACGGACAGTACATGGGCGTGGCCTTTCGGGGACTCAAGGGCAAGAAGCTGTACCCCGTCGTGAGCGCCGTCTGGGGCCACTGTGAGATCCGCATGCGCTACGTGAACGGACTCGACCGTAAGTGTCTCCTGCTCCGTCCTGGAGGGCACTGCCCCGGCCGCCTGTGGCCGAGGGGCCCTGGGCGGGCCTGGCAGGAGCTTGTGCGGTCCTCGGGGTTCAGATGCCTTTCGGTAGACGCCGCAGCGTCCTCCGGTCCTCAGAGGCGACGCTTGCTTGGCTCTGGTTAGATGGAAAGTTCTCGCTGGAGTCCGCCGGCCAACCTGGCAGCACCTGGTGGATGAATGAGCGGGTGGTTGGATGGATGGATAGATGGGTGGCTGGCTGGCTGGCTGGATGGATGGGTGGGTGGATGGATGGGTGAGGAATGAATGAGTAGATGAGTGGGTGGATGAATGAATGGATGGGTGGGTGGGTGGGTGGTTGGATGGATGGATAGATGGGTGGCTGGTTGGATGGATGGGTGGGTGGGTGGGTGGATGGATGGATGGATGGATGAGGAATGAATGAGTAGATGAGTGGGTGGGTGGATGAATGAATGGATGGGTGGGTGGGTGGGTGGTTGGATGGATGGATAGATGGGTGGCTGGTTGGATGGATGGGTGGGTGGGTGGGTGGGTGGATGGATGGATGAGGAATGAATGAGTAGATGAGTGGGTGGGTGGATGAATGAATGGATGGGTGGGTGGGTGGGTGGGTGGATGGTGAGGAATCAGTGAATGGATGGATGGTTTTTGACAGATGTGGCTTGTTTCTGGTTGGCCTGCCTTTAGGATGTGCAGTGGACCAAATTCTAGCACAGCAGCCAGCGTGGGGTTGAGCTGGGGTTGGTGGTGCTGGAGGTAGTAGGTCCCTCGCATAATTGTGCTCCCGTAGTGGTAAGCAAGTGGCCTCTCACTCATTAGGGTCTTGCTCCTGGGTAGGCGCCTTTGGGACACAGTCCCCTGGGGGGGCTTGTTCGGCCATGATGTCGAAGGCCTGGGAGAGGATCTAGAGGAGGAAACACGTGAGGGCCCTGCGGCGTCCTCCGCCCGCTGCCTCTGTGGGGAGTGGGATGAGGGGACGTGGGCTAGAGCTGCCAGCCTCGCCTGCTTACTGACCCCGGGTCCTGCGTTAAGAGAGCAGCTCGTCCTGGGAGAGTGGCCACGGGAGGCCAGGGCGGAGCTGTCCAGGGGAGCGGCCATGGCCAGACGGCTCTGGAGGTCTGGAGACAGGGTCTGGGGAGTCGTCTGTGGCTGGGTGGTGTTTGGAGCTGTGACCACTGCCCATCTGCAAGCAGTGGGTCACTGTCCCCCAAGGGAGAGTCCTTGGCCCGCGGGTCCCCTCTGCCCCCACTGGGAGCCGCCGTCTCTGTGCAGGAGGCATTTCCGTGCGTTAGGCATGTTCAAGTTCTCCCTCTGGTGCCTCCCGGATCAGGGTGCTGCCGTTTGTTGCGATTGATGGTTCAGCCGAGACTCGGCTCCTTTCTCTGGGAGACCTCCTCCTGGTTCCTCCTGAGTGCCTCGCCCGTTGGGGGCCCTTCCTGCACCTCCATTCCAGCGGGGCCCAGGGGCCATCCTCTCTGGGGGGGACTGACCACCCGCACTGCAGGAGCTTCTTTCTGGGGGACGTCCTGCCTCCCCCGAGGGGCTGGTCCTGCAGGGACAGTGGGCTCAGAGTTGGGGGCAGGGGCCTCGGGGGGGCCACGCTACCCGGCCAGGGGCCAGGCGTCCTTCCCCACTTGGCAAAGACGAGGGCTTCGTGTTGGGTTTGCTGCTTTTTTGTAAGAGCTGCTGCCTGTGAAGGGGGCGGGCACACACGTCCTGGGAGGGCAGGCCCACCACACGTTCTAGGCCCCATCTCACGGAGCACTGCCCCTGCCGCTGCCGCTGCCGGCGGGAGTGCGGCCAGGCCCGGGCGGGAGCGGAGAAGGTGGGGGTGAGGGCGCCGCCGAATCCGGGCCCTTCCGAAGCACATTCACGGCGCCGTGAGTGAGACACGGCAGCATGGGCTCTGGGGCGCCGGTGGTGTCGCAGGCTCTGAGCCCTTGGAGAGCCTCGGGCCGCGGTGCTGGGCCGAGCTCGGTCCCACAGGCCCCAGGTAACCGCTTCTCCGAGAAACGCGAAGTTGGGGCCCGGACGCCCCAGTTCCTCAGCCTTCTGCTCCCATAAATAGCGCTGATTCACTTCCCGATCCTGAGCCGTGCCCCCTCTCATTCATAGAAACGATGCAAATGAGCGAGATGGCACCGCGGCCGGCCTCGCCCAGTAGCTCTGCCCTCTCTGTTTGGGCACCTCCTCGGTGGAGCCCAGGGGGCACCAGCTTTGTGGCTGGAGCGGGGTACAGAGCCTATGGCTCCCCCTTGAGAAGTTTTAGGGGTGGGAGAGGGAGTGCTTGGGGCCTGCTAGCAACCAACCAATATAGCCTTTAGAACCTGCCGTCACCCCAGAGAAGCCCACCGCGGGGAGCCGTCACCCCGCCCCTCACCCTGGCACCCTCAGCTGTAGGAGGTGGTCCTCAGGGATTTGAGGTTTTAATGCGACGTTTAATGTTCTGAGACACAGTGGTGACGGTCGGAGAACGGTAACCCGTTCCCTGTGGGTGGCATGGGCTCCCGAGGGGAATGCTGGGGTCTCTCTGGGTTGTGGGGGTCTGGTCTTCGCTTTGCTCACAAAGGAGTCTCAGAGTCAAGGGGCGCCCATTTGCGTCTGCCCTTTCTGTGTCCAGGGCACTGTGCTCCCCAGACCCTGCCTTTAGGGGCGAGGGAGGTCACCGGGGGGGTGGGGGGGGTGAGCAGGGCCTCGGCCTGGCCGGCTCCTTCTGAGCTGAAAGTCTATCGGAGCCGCTGACTCCAGGGAGCCCCGCTGGCAAGAGGATGGGGCCGGGCCCTCGGGGGACACCAGGACACGGGCGCCCTTACAGCTGCAGCGAGAGGCTCTTCCCAGTCCGGGTGCCCGGCCTGTGACCTTGGCCTATGACCTCTGTGCCTCAGTGCCCCCAGCTGTGACATGCAGATGGGAACAGTACCTGTGGGCAGTTGGGGGGGGGGGGGGATCCTCACAAGATAATTCCTTTCCCGAAAGCTCCGTGCAGTGGCGCGGGGTGCAGTGGTGCGGGGTGCACGCAGGGAAGAGCCGGGTGTAAGAGGGGCACAGCCTGAGTCAGCACCCAGCTTCCTGTCCGCCTGGCAGCGGGACCCCGGGCGTTATCCGGACTCCGCCCCTCCGTTCCCCCGTCTGCCTGAGACCGTGCCATCACCGCCACCCGGGTGGTGGGGACGGAACACGTGTTTGCAGAGTGGGTTCTTGGCTCGCTGAAAACAGTGACTCCGAAATGGAAATGTCCCCTGCGTGTTCCCGCGAGTGGGGAGGGTCCTCCCCGGGGTGGTGTGCACCGGGGCCGAGCCCGCCTCACCCCTCTCTCCCCGTCTCCGCAGCCGAGCCCCTGCCGCTCATGGACCTCTGCCGCCGCTCCGTGCGCCTGGCCCTGGGGAAGGAGCGTCTGGGCGAGATCCACGTGCTGCCGCTGCCCGCCGCCCTCAAGGCCTACCTCCTCTACCAGTGACCGGGCCCGCACCGCGCCGCCGACCCACGGCTGCCGACCCACGGCTGCCGCCGGCCACGGAGCCGGCGCCCCGCTGCCCGCCCGCCCTGCGCCTCGGACAGGCCTCTGCAGCCTCCTCCTCCTCCCCCGCCCTCGGGACTCGGACGCGGACACGGGCTCCCTGCCCCCTCCCAGCACGAGCGGAGGGCCCTGCGTGCCCGTGCCAGCCCCTCCTGGGAAAAGGACACCGAGGACTCCAGGAAGCTCGGCCCTGCGCTCCCGTCTGCTCTCAGGGTGGCCGGGAGCCCCCACCTGCCGGGTCCGGGGAGAGGGGTCCCCGGGAGCAGACCCAGGGTGCTAAGAGGTGCTCGGACAGGGCTCGTGCCGGGGACCCCGCTCAGGACGTCAGAAACACACCGGACGAGGCAGCAGCCGGAGGGCCCGCCCGCCCGCCAGGCCCGCAGCCGGTGCCCCGGACCCTGTATTTATTCTCTCGACAGTAACGAAAGCCATTTATTTATTCCACGTAGAAAGGGGCCGGCTCCGGTCTCTGCTTTTCTCTGTCCGCCCTGCCGCTCCCGGCATGTGCAGGCCTCGCCCTCCTCGCCGGCTGTCCGTGGCGTGTCCCCGCGTGGGCACACGCGTCTCTGCCTGGGTCCCTCAACCCACCGTTCCCCAGGGGCTCTGCCCTGAGTTCCGAGCGGTCGGAGCGTGTGGGGGTCACAGCCCCACAGCGGGGGCGGCTCCCGTGTCTCCGGCTGCGACGGACACGCGGGCTCCCACGCCTTTGCACGTGGCTTATTTCCGTGTCTTCCGTGGGCTCTGGCTGTGGGTTTGGTTTTGCTTCTGCCTTCCTCGCTGAGATGGCCCACAGGACGACCGGACCGAGGAGGGAGGAGGAACGAGGAGCAGGCTGGGGTGCGGGAGACGAGCGAGGCATCACGCCTCACGCAAGCCCACGCGTGGCCCACGCGTGTCTCCACGTAGTGCCTAGCTCATCACGACCCCCCAGAGCCAGGGGGCGGGGTGGGGCGGGGCAGCCAGCGGGAGAGGCCCCCTCCCTGCCGCAGCCCCCCCACGTAGCAGCCCCCGGCCCCCGCCACCACGCTTGGCGTTTCTCCATCTCGAAGCCGGCTCCGTTCCCTTCTGCACAGGTACAATAGATGACTCTATTTGTTTAAAATGTTTAATATATATGCGTATATATTTGTCCGTAAGAATTATGTTTTAAACAGCTGCTGTAGGGTACCTTTAAAAAGAAGAGGGGGGAAAAAAGAAGTCTTCCAGTGAAATATATTTTTTAAAGCACAGCCTTGGTGCCAAGACTGGGGGAGGCGTGTCAGTGGCCCTTGTCATGGCGAGGTGGCCGTCTCAGGCCTTCCCTTCCCCGTGAGGCCTGAGACCTGCCTCCCCCTGCTCCAGGCCGGCCCTGCGGCGAACGTTGCACATGAGTGTTCCACTCCCATGGCCTCCGCTGCCTTCCCGCCGCGGCCGGACGCTGGCAGGGCTCTGTCGTCTCTGCACCCCTCCCCCCGCCGCCCTCAGTGTCCCCCCAAGTTCCCCCCCCCCTCAGCCCAGAGCCCTGTGGCCTGTACAGTCTTGAAACTCCCATTCTATTTTATGATGGTTGATCATAGTCAGTTACCGAATAAAGGAAAGTTTATTAACTTCTGAGTCCCTCTCTGTGCCTGAGGGGAGAGGGGAGAGGCGAGGCCGGCCCCTCCTGGGCTAGCCAGCTGGGTTTGCAGCGGATAATGAGGGGATGGCCGGCCCCCACCCCGTTCCCCTCGTCACATGCCAGCGAGAGCCTCCGAAGAGCCGGAGGACCCTGGACGGGGGATCCCAGAATGTCCCCACCTCCTTTCGGGGGTCTGTGAGCCTGTGCCCCAGACCGCGGGCCTTGCTGGCCTAACGGGAAGGACTGTACGCCAGGCTCAGGGCAGCCAGTGGAAGGAGCCGGTCGTTCATCGTTGGGCCTGTCCCCAGGGCCAAGCACAGGGACGCGCTGGCCGCCGCTAGGGGCAGGGTCCTCGCCCCCAACAGCCAGGAACACGGGAGAGGATGGGTGAGCGATCAGGAGAATAGTCGAGAAACCATCCCGGGTCCTGACCGGTTTCCAAAGAATTAGCCAGAGTGCATCCCTGTGGGCATTCTTCATCCTTAAGGCATGCTGGGTCCGCTGGGCGGGGGCGTGTGCTGGCCCAACGGCCAAGTGTCCAGGACCAGAGTCCTGTGTCCCCCGGCCCACCCTCCCCGCCGCCTGCACCAGCGGCACTGGGAGGTGCTGATTACAATGCAGGTCTCCGGGCCCCCGCCGGAGCCGGGCCGAGCCCACATGTCCGGGGCCGGGCCCAGGAAGGTGCTGTTTTCTCAAACTCCCTCGCCTGAGGCAGGCGCCCCCTGGGGCGGGGTCAGCTCTCTCCCCCGGAAAGCTGCTGGGCACAGGGCACGCTCTCGGCGTGCTGGTGGCTTGGCCCGGCGACGAGTACCCGGCTCCCGAGTCAGACCTGGCCTCGGACGTCGGCGCTGTCCCTGGCGTGGGGTGAGCCTCCGTGGGGGACGGTCCTCCTGGGCCCATCGCCCGGGAGGGGGGCAGGGGTGACGTGAGGTGTTAGGACCGGCCGGCGGCGCACCCTGGCCAGCGTGCGAACACGCGCTGTCGGAGCCGCGCACTGCGTTCTGTCCTGGAAAGGGCCGTTCCGGGCCTGGAACTGGCCGTGGAGAAGGGACCGGGCGTTCCTAAGCCGACCTCCTGACGCACGTGCTTTCTTCCCGGGCACAGTCCCCAGCGATCACGGTGGGTGTTGGGGAAGGGCCCTGAGATGCCTTCCCAGACACGTGGAGGAAGGGGGCCTGACATGGTTTTTAGGTGGCGTTTGGAGCTCTGGCTGGCTTGGACAGGGGGTGCCGGGGAGGCGTGGGGGCCGGCGGTGGGAGTGGGAGGGGGGGCGGGCGGGTGTCGGGAACACGGGGAAAAGGAGGGCCTTTGTGCGGCTTGGAGACTTCTGGGGTGGGGGCGGGGGGCAGGCTTTTGCGTTGAGGGGAGCGATCTTCATAAAACCATCCAGCGACCAGCCCATGTGGATGTAATTAATAGCCTGCCCTCCAGCAGGTAGCGAGCAGCCTCTCGGCTTGCCCTTCCTCCTCCCTCTTCCCTCCTCCCTCCTCCCTCCTCCATCCATGTCCATCTCCTGCACTCGCTTCCCTCCCCCCCCACCGCCCTTCCCCCTGCCCCTCACTCCTCTCCCCTCCCCTCCCCTCCCCTCCCCTCCCCTCCCCTCTCCTCGGTGAGATGAGGAATGCGGACTTCACTGAACCACCAAGTATGCCAGGGAGCCAGGAGGGGCCGAGGACAGAGCAATTAGTTCATGCTGCAGCCCAGACACCCAAGCGTGGTTGGAGTCCAGCTGCAAGGAATATTTGAAATAAACGAGCTGCCCGGGGCCAGGCGTTTGCTGTTTTCGGGACGGGGCCATGGCAACGGGGGAGGAAACCATGAGCTAGGGACTGGGCTCTAGAATCAACAAATGATGTCCTGGCCGCGGAGCCCAGAGGAAGCCGCTCCGGCCCTCGGGGCTCCTGGGGCTCAGCGGCTGGCGGCCCGGCCGCGGCCCGGTGCGCTCGGCACCGCCCGTCCAGCTCGGTCCTCGGAAGGACTCTGAGGGTCTTTTCCTTTTCTCCTATTTTTCTTTTCTTCCTCTTATTTTTAAGAGAAACGCTTTGAAAAACCACTTCTCCAAGCCTTTCCTCCCAGGCTGCTGGCCTGGCGATGCGTTTCCTGGGCAGAGGGGTGCTCCCCGTTGAAAAGCCCGGCCTGAGGGCAGCGGGCCACCTGGGAGGGCGCTGACCTCGCCCAGGGCCTTCCCCCCGCCCAGGGCACCCCCTTCCTGGTCGGCTCTGGAGGCGGGAAAAGCGAGGCCACACTGTTCCTCCCTTTCTCCGCTGAGAGTTAGGTGACCAGACACAAATTGTTAAAAGTTGGGACTGTCCCGCCAAAAGCAGGACGTCGGGTCACCTTGTCTGAGAGCGACCTTCCCGCATCCCTAAGAAAGCCCAGAGAAGCACAGGGCGAGCCACAGCACCGAGTGTGGGGCTTTCTCTTGAACGTCACAAGCGCCTCCTGCATCACCGGGGCCTTCGGGGGGGGGGGGGGGGGGGAAGCAGAAATCCCCGAGGCTCAGGGCCAGGGACCCTGCGCGGGAGGTGCCGCTGCTGCTCTGACACGCTGGCGGGTTTCCGGGCAGAGCTGCCCCCCTGCTGGTCCTGCTTCCTCCAGAGGGACCCCCAGGCGTCAGCAGCGGCTCCCTCGGCTCTGGGCCCAGGCCCGGGGCTGCGGCCCCTCGTCTTCCCGGCCCCGAGGCGCTTGTCTGGAGGGAAAACTCGAGGGGAATACCGGGAGCCGGGAAATGGCTCTGGCTCCTCGGCCCCGGGTTTCCCCGAGGAAGCGAGTCCTGGCAGCCGGACCGGGAGCTCAGTGTCTCGGAACCGCCGCTCCGATGCCGTCCACACCGCCGTCCTCGCAGAGGCTGCTCGCGGCTGTTTCCACGGCAGCGCCCACCCAGGCCGCGTCTCCCCTGTCTCTTCACAGACGCCCCGCCCCGTTCTCCCTCCCACCAGCTCCTCGGGGCCCCACCTTTTTATTAAAATTATTTTTTAAGTATATATCTTGTTGGTATTTTACAGAGGAAAAGAGAGGGATGGAGAGTTAGAAACATGGGTGAGAATCATCCATCAGCTGCCTCTTGCACACCTCCTACTGGGGATGTGCCCGCACCCCAGGAACATGCCCTTGACCGGAATTGAACCCAGGATACTTCAGTCCGCAGGCTGATGCTCTATCCACTGAGCCAAACCGGTTTCGGCTGGGCCCCACCTTTTGAAGATTTTTCAGCGGCAGCACGTGGGCGAAGGTCCTTCCCCAGGATCTCAGTCGGGCAGGGCTGCCGGCAGGGCCGCCGATGACCCCCAGGAGAAGGAACTTCGGCCGAAAAGCAAAGCCCCTCGCCTCGCAGCTGGTCCCC